AAGGGAAATAACCACTGGATTTCAGATTCATTTTGCAGCATCAGGCGTGAATCATTCAGTTGGCTAGAGATGAGCAACAGATTTGTTCCATTATGATCCTCTTTCAAATAAGCTTACCTTTCAGCCTTTTCATTACTACACCCAGTATGCAGTATGCTGTAAAACTTGATGAACAAGCAGACATCTTGTCTATACTACATTTAAAAATATCAAAGAGTAGTCTAAAAAAGGAATGGCTTACCAATATTACGAACAGTGACTGGCATAAAACGCATTGGGCAGTTCTTTAAGCTTTGTTAAAGACAATGATGTGTTTGAAGTGTTATGTAAATCGACGCAGACACTCAAATGGGTAACTCTGTTTTGTATAAGAAGAAAGGAATACCCAGAGATGATTGATGCATGAACCGGTATTAACATTAGAATTTAAAGAAAACACACATGCTGCATCATTATTCAAAGCGAAACTCTATCGTAAATATGATACTATAAGCAACTATGATAGACAGATAAACGGACGGACGGACGGATGAACAAACAGACATGACCAGCAGGTGATCTGTCTGGAACCACTGTGTGACAACCCAAGTTTCCCAACCCCACATCATTACACTAAGACGTAAAGCAACAGGATGAAAGGTAAGGAAATGGCATGTTATAACTAAAAGATGTGGAAAGCCATAAAGCAACGAGAAGAAGGATTAAAGAAAATGAAGATAGTGTGTGGATGACCTCGGGTCTTCAACTCTCGATTTCGATTGTCGCGCGGAGCACAGTCTACGGGCCTACATTCACTCGCTTACATAGCTGAAACCAGCAAGCCGAGATTTCGTGGACTGGTGCTTTGTTTCTATCTACTTCAGACTCTGGTGGCGGTTTCACACATTTAGCACATATCCCACCCCAATGAGAGTTTTCAGTCGCATCGGTTAGCCTGCCTCCTTTGCCTAACTACCATACTATGCACAGCGGTGGGGTAAAATGCGAGTATTCACTGTTCGGTCGTGTCGGCTGGCCTCCAGTTTCATACATGCAGCTGCATATTTACCACGAGTACGCTAGCAGATTAGGGAAGGCAGATGTAGTGAATGAATACTTGAACCCATGACCCCTAGGATTTGAAGCTAAGTGTGGGTGGGTGCACCTGCGTGTGTGCGAAGGCCACCTCTGAACCATATACTATCTTACACCTTTATAAATCCCAGACAAGGTTATTAAGCATAAAGAATGGGTGTACGGCGGACTAGTGAAATTCACTTGTTATTACCATTACCATTATTGTTATTATTACTGTTGTTATTATTACCTATATTTTATAGTAATAGAAAGTGATAGAATGAACAAGTTTACGATCATATTTGATCAAGTTGAATGACTATTTTTATATTAGTGAAGCGGAAACTAAACTACGTCTAGCCAAAAAGTAAGACTGGCTGACTCATTCCTCAATGTATTATTCCCCACTGACCTGTCTAACACGCATCTCATCCATACACGATAAAATAAAGGCTAGACAATAGGGCATACCTATAGCTTTGGGATAGATTTTAAAAATGACTAGCCAAAATGATTACGATTAACCTTTCCGCAATAGGGGTTTGCAATTTCTATTATTTTCGTGATAAAGATGATTGAAAGGTTCTTCAAGAATGCGTGAATGAATGAATGAATGAATGAGGCAATTCATCAAGCCAATTACTATTTATCATTTTACCCCCTTTACGAGTCAAAACAAATTAAACTACTTAGTGTTGGAACGTGACGCACCGGTTCTGTGGTCAGATAGCATAGTAATTGCGCAATCTGAAATTGTATCACACCTGAAGAGCCCCTAGAATGAATGAGTGCTATAATTCGACTTCTAGATCATCAAGGAAACTGATGACTATTATTTTAATGAATGTAATAATTGTAGTCACCCTTACTGATACATGCAAGTTACCGTCGTTATACCAGATAGAAGTGACCGATAGCTGTCGGCATACGGGTTACTATAAGTATGCATCAATGTTACCTAAAGATGCAGATTGCATGTTTCGTCTATTTTGGACACCGTCAGCCCGACGCACCTGCATTCTAGTGAGTGACAGTGTCACTTCTAGGACTCGAAGCTAGCATCCATTGTTCAAACACCAGAGGGTTGTCCACTAGACTATTGAGTTAAGGACTGAATCACAAACTCTTGATTTCGTCTCTTGACAGAAACACTTCATATATACCTGGACTGTATTGATCCATAGGTGACAATCTGATAGCTAACTGCCAACTCTCTTCCTCCTTTGTTCTGTCTTTCTGTCAGAAACGTTTATGCAAGTTATTGTAGTCTTTTTCACATCAGTGTCCATAGATGCTTCTATTCAAACACACAGGCAGTATTAGCTATTCATCACGTGACTTACAAACAGCTGATAACTTGCATTTGCTGTTGTACTAAGGTATGAAGTCAAACCAGTGTCGAAATTCCAAGTTGTATGTCTTCTACACTAGTTATACGACATACACCAGGCTTCCCGAAAACTCTAATTGTCCTCTTCATCTGTAGACACATTCAAAAAAAGGATCAATTTTGTTGATAAACTTATATCATGCTAACCAGTGAGTGATGCCTTTAGTTACAGCTCTAAGACATATATTAAACCAATTGAGTGACGATAATGAAAATAGCAGATAAATGCTAAGCCGAATAATGGGAAATCACCTCGAAGTTGATGAGTTCTATCAACCTATAACTCAGTGTTGACGCGGATTAGCAGTAAATTACCTAGTGCACTAGCATGAAAGAGAACAATGAATTAGACGGTACTACACAAGTGTCATATACTGTCTGTATGTTCATTTCATTGAAGTGGTTAGACCAGGAAGTGACATGATTTCATCAAGTTTGTAGCTGTGAGATAAAGATGATTTACCAACTGTATATCGGTGACTTACAGATATCCGGGGAAAGAAAAACAGACCAACGTCAATATGAGACATGACATTACTGCCCAGATGTCCGTATCACTACAGCTCATATCAGCATATCAAGATGGCGGTAGGAAGTAGATGAAGATAAACTTGAGTGTATCTCGGACACCATCTTCCATAGGCTTCAATTATCGAACTCTGATTATCGCCGGAGAATAACTGCCTACCAAATACAACCATAGTTCGATTTGTAGATCCACGGTTGAATGACTTAAGGAATCTACAGATTGGAAAATGACTGTGCCTACAACGATATGCGCCACTAGCCGGTATCTGCAGTTTCCACAATTTAGTGGAGACAGTTATAAGCAATCGGTTGATAATCACAAATGTAATTACATCAACTAAAAGTTCACCAGAGTAACAAACTGTCAAAAATCATTTAACGACCACAACATAATGTTGTAGAATGAAAAATTAAATTAGGTAGCACGATGCTAGTTAGAAAAATTCATCACATGGTGACAGATTTTCGTCAAATTTCCAAATGCCCTTTTAAAAAAACGTGACAAACTTAGATGTCAATTCTGCAGTCAAGGTTTTCATACATGTTGTGACTTACTTTACAGACTAATTATCCTGTTTACCGATTCAGTGTTCATCTGCCTTTCTTTAATGTGAAGCAGGAGTATCAGTATTCACCCTTTGTGTAAACTATAGTACCAACAAAGAGATTGATTTTGTGGCCAGATATGTGAATCCGAAGTGTCCAGAACCAATGAGCGACAGCACTGAATGCAATACTGGGTGGTGGTTACCAGTGGAATCTAGGGCGAGTTTCGTTCTATTTGGGATTCGATGGCTGAATGTACTTTGACATTCCTCTGCATGACTTAGCCATAAAGAAATCGGATAACATAATAGTCCGAGTGATTAGAGCTGTCATTAACTCGATTGCTAATGAAACTCTCCCCTGAGTTGCGTAATCTAGGCTTATTAAGATGGTATAAAATAGTTGTGGTAACAGATGTCTCAGTATCTTAGTCACCATATCACTAGGCGATGCTTCCGATATCTTGCTTCTGCGCTGGATATGCTCTTTGAACAACGACGCCTGGTCAGACCCTTCAAAGCACATTCATTTAGTCATCGAGTGTGACATATGCATACAAGCACATAGGTGTCGACATTCAAATCAACTAAATGTGTTATCACAATAGACAAAATCAACACCCACTGTAAATATTATCTAGTCATATGAAGAGAAATTATTCAGAAGACAAGACGTGTGTAGTGTGCTTCTCATTATAGTGATGACATGACAGGCAAGGTTGTTGGAATTCAATTATGTATGCATCAGTTAAGAATTTCACATAGTTGACAAGTGGAATTAATTAGCTAGATGACGTCGAGTGAAATAAGTATATGCAAATAAGTGTAACATATGAAATGGCTGCCGGCATACCTACATTTTCAAACACTGATAAGTAGTACGATTCTCGCCTGATGTGCATTCAACATATAGAAGGAATTCATGAACTGAATTGTAATTCTCGAAATCAAGCAATAACTACACACAAAGACACCAAACGATTTGGACTAAGTCAGCCATTTGGACAGTACTTCACAGACCTAAGTAAAATGGAGGCAGCTGAATAAGACGTAGAATAGAATAGATATAGCATGTCTAAATCATGTGGACAACAGTTCCTGAGAAGAAGTGCATTCACTAACAGAGGCCAAGTAATCAAACCATGAAATAATAAATAAAGCGTTAGATCATATTCATCTTGGTAACTAGCAGTGGAATCCAGGACGCGCGTTTCGTTCTATTTAGGACTCATCAACTATATATACTTTTGAGGGATGCTTTCTCCACTAAGATTTGAACCCAGTACTCATCGCTTCAAACGCCAAAGTGTTGTCCACCAGAATGATGAGTAAATGTCCAGGTAGTATCTAGGCCCCTTCAGAGGAGCCCATCTGCCAACAGAGGTTGGGCAATTCAGCCCTGTATAGCAACACGAAATTACCATTATCAAATAACAAAAGCGTAACATCTATTAATAATGCTAATGTGACATACTACTTACCATGAAACTGTTCAACGGTCTTGGAATACTGTCTTTCCGGCGTTTCTTTTTTGATTCAGCGATTGTTGTATAAGGTCGTAAAGCATTGACACCGGTTAGTCGAGCTGCTCTATCGCTAGGCCATTCTGTTGGTACGGCGTGTTCATCGGTTAAATGTTGCATCCAAACTTGTAAACCTCCTAGTTTAGCAGAGGCACATTGATCGCAGTCTTGCATCCACATTCTTGGTGTAGTAGTATTTTTAATTTATTGTAAAAATAAATGGGATAGTTTGCTGAAAGCACAATGGCAAGAGTATTGTAGTGACAATATGGAATGCAGTGAGCCTTTTTATAGCATCAAGTTAAATAATGTTTATGGGCGAGTGATAAACCACTCAAGACAATACTTCACACGCCGAACTGTATGACATACACAGAATGAGGAAATAAACGTGATCCAGCAATTTATAGTTGACAGATGGGAGGCCTAGAGGCAGTGATGTATTGTGTGCCCTAGACGTGTGTGTGCACACATCTATTTATGTGCGTGTGTGTGTGCATTCGTATGTGATTGTAGCAGTCACCTAGACACTGTTTATGTGACCGTTATTACTACCAACAGCAGAAATGGTAGCAGACGGGGGCAGTGTAGATAAACTTCTGTGATTCGATTGTATCTTATCTTACACGTCTAGGATAACAGATGAGCTCGCCTGTGAGGCTATTTAAAGCACGTGGCTTTCAAACTGCAACCTGTGTATAGTGTATATTTATGTCCGTCTGTCTACCGATTTTATTTCAGGGAAGAAGTAAGCTGGTTAAACAAATGCTTGTTTGCTGGTTTGAAGGTCTCTTCCCTATACAACAATGTCATGTATGCAAATTTCTCACTGAGCACGTTAGCCACATTTAAAATTACCAACCAATCTCAAATGCAAGTTTAACTATAAACTAAATACGTGAATCTGATTGGCTGATACGTAGAAACTATGTAACTTGAAGGTGCTAGTCTAATAATAGATTAGACGAATTGGAAAGGGATGAAGTTTATGGCTATAGGGTAGGACAGAAATTTATCAACTAAACAACGACCCAGTGACGTGTGTTGTTCGCTTGTTTTGTAGGTCATATGAAAAAGCTTACGAATTCCATACTGGATCTCACGAATCAGGTGTAACATCACATGGTGGTTAGTCCGTTGTGTGTGTGCACGTGAGACGGAGAGAGAAAAGATCAGGTTGTAAGATTATCCCAGACATAAAAGCTACTAAATATGGAAATAAAAGATTAAAAATGCCATCTCGTTTACTTGTCACTTTTTATTAAATTATGAAAATTCTACGCTGGATGATAAAAAACTCATTTATTATTGAATTAATGTCGGGAAAGTGTAGTGAAATGCACAGATTACGTATTAACAATGATAAATTCAACTGGTTGCTATTATAGACAGACAGGAATGAATCTACCATAAGAATGAAGCCGTAGATACAATATTGTGTGTCGATAATATTATATGACCAGTAAAATTGCTAATAAAAACATTCGTTTTAAAAACGATTTATAGTACTGAAAAAACAACAGGTTAGCCTATGTTTCTATGACATTCAGACATTCCTTTCTACAGAATAGACTTTAATTTTTACAGAATGGAAGTATGAGCCAAGTTTATTGCATACTACCCAACTACGGTTAACTCAAATAGTTAAAATGCTAATCAGTATGATGCTCCGCCTCTTCAATTCAGGGAGATTTGAACGAGGATGAGAAGTCCCTGACTGAGCAGTCAGTGTGAGTACGACTAAGCGATGGTAACGTATCACGAGTTCACATGGCATTTGGGAAACACTTGTGGTAATTGAGGTGTAATAAAAATCTGGTGAGCAGTCAGGTCCCAAACTCACTTGGCAAGGCACTGGGCTGGAAACACGGGGGTTGCTGGTTGGAATCCTTCCGTGGCTCAGGTTTTTATTTTACCATCAATCATTATATCAACTTACCGACTAGGATATAAAAGATAGCTACGGTTGGTCAACTCATTTCTGCGTGAAATGATGTTGATACTGAGAAGATGATCACAAATCGCACACAGACTCAAAGCACACTGGTCTACAGATTACCAATGGTATGTGATATCATTTATACAATGACACACATATGGTTATTGATTAAGTTGTTGATTCCAGTAGCCATCTGGTGGTGAGTAGGTTCATTTACTAAAGAGGGGCATCTTAAAGAGTCTTACTAGAATTAAGCTGACTGGTTTTTACAACCAGTATACGTTGTGGAGCTAGTGTAAATGTGTCTCATAACAAACAAATGGGTGGACTGATTTACGAATGAGGTAAATCTGAGACTTGACTTATAGCTAGTAATTGCATCTTTGAGACTAAGATGCCGAAATGGTCACAGAAAAACCGCTAATCTGGATCCGAAATTCCACCATAATCTAGTCTTCAAACCCATATAACTAAGTTGACTGACTGACCAGCTAGATGTCGCGGCAACGTTTTGGTACACAGTTCAAATAATGATAAGATGACTCCTTTCTTGTTTCCTGCAATAATTTCCCTTTGGTCAACTTTAAATGGGCAAACAAAAACAATAGAGGAGAATAATTTTTGATTTATTTGGTTATTTTGACGGTTCTCACCAACTGTACACAATCTAAAATAATTTTTCAAAAAATCAAATTACTCAGGTATATTACCATGCATAAAGGCTAGGGAAACTGCTCAAGCTTTGGAAGACGTCAAACATTGCATACATCTGCACAACTGTGACCTATTTTCAGCCACTTTAGCAGCAGTCCTCAGTCACTGATTCCTATAGTCTCAGGAACCTCAGCTAGGTAGTCTGTACCTTCATATACGGTCCAAACCAGTAATCATGGACTTCGTGGACTGGTGTCACGACTCAGTTCGACCATCCTGGGCTTTCCTTCTTCCAATCTAATCCAACTTCCTCTAACATGGCACGTTGAGGTGGGCCGTGACTTGGTATGCTCAACACATGGTCAGGCTACCTTAGTCAGCGAAGGTTCACGACTCCATTGACTAACTAGCCTTACTTGTTTAGCAGTGTACATTTGACCTGGAAATTGCTCTCATAATGTTTTTACCAGACATAAGCAAAGCCACAAAGACATCCGTAGCCTCTTCATTTCCTCTAAATTCAATGGTCATGTCTCACAGGTTTATAACATAACACAGAAGATTGTTGGGTGCTGCAATTCTATATAGTATCTTACAGTAAAATAAAACGAAGTGACTATACAGTAGACACTTATCTACAAAGTTTCAGTGACCTTGAAGTTCATTTCGTTTGTTTGACCTTTTATTACTCCAAATAGATCACTAATGATGAACACAAGTATGTGACAGAGACCATTTTCTAGTCAGCATGACAACTGTTGGCTGAATGCTTTGCATATAAGCATGTGTGCATGTGCGCATGTGTGCTAACTTGTTCGGTACAAAAGTTTATAATAGTTTTCATACATTACTTTATTATTTTTGTGTAGTATTTACTTAGTTTATGTTCAATGTTTTTGAGCAACACGGTTAATCGGTATTCAAACAGTTGGAAACTCTGACGATGATCCCTGATAGCAGTGAATGTGCAAAATTCTATCAGGATACTTCTTGACTGAAACCGTACTAAGTGATATGTTATACCGTACGATTCGGTCATAAACTATTGTCTCTGTGCATTAGTTCTTTGAAAGTAGTATGAAAGATACAGTTTACCACTTTATATAGATACTGCATCTCATGTACAAAGTAGTAACCAACTTAGCTAAACAGCCTTTTGAACAATCAATCCCCAACGCTTGGTTTGAGCCCCACTGGGAATTTAAGCGCAGATATGCACACAGTATACTCATTAATCTAAATTGGAACGAAATAGGTATCTTTGGTTTCCCTGAAAAGCTTTATCGTTGAGACTTAAGTGACAAGAAAATCTGGTTCTTGGCTCAGTTGGTAAAGCACCCAGCCGGCAATCTGCTGGTCGCCGGTTCGAATCCTTCCGTGGCCCAGATTTTCACTTCACTTTCAATCATTACCCAGTATCTTTTCACTTACTGAAGCTTTACTGAAAAGCATCATTCTTAATCAAAGTAACCGGGGAAATATATAACACATTGCGAATGATTGTTGCTTGAAGTGATACCTTCTCAGACACCATTCGGAGTGACAATGATTATGTTGGTGATGTTGGCTTTGAGTCGTGACCCAACTGCTCAAAGTTGGAAACCTAGACCGATAAGACATCCGGAGGTCGTCGGTATTTCTGAACATCAGGAAAGCTTTAGTCAATACTTTTTAGGGAACGATTAACTAGAGACTGGTTATCCCTTCTGTTCGGAATGTGAATAATCGTTAACTCATTTGTTAGTAATGTATTGTGGCGTCTGACGAATGAAAGAAATCCATGGGTTCGGATACCCTTCAGTGTTACAGCTCAATTTATTTAAAAATGAATTCCATGAACGTGGCTATTAAGTCGGAATGATGCCTTTTTCTGGACTATTTGTGGTGAGACACTGTAGTCCTATAAAATTTCGTAAAATCTACGTTGCGAAATCCCTTTGCCTGTGAACAAGAAAGATTCTGTTTGAGTAGAAACATTTATATAAATAGGCTATTGATGGCTTATGTGTTGATAACCACCGACTGTTGTCGTGGCAACTTTCACCAGGATTCGAAATCGATTCAAAAACCAATGATAATCTCAAAGGACTGAACAGGCATTCTGTCCTAATTTGTCAATGCATAACAGTTTGCACTCGTGAATCTGCAAACGATTCAGTCTAGAATCTTCAAGTCTGGAGGCGAGAACGATAACATCCAGTCAATGGTTGCAAATCAATGGTTAAACTTTTTTCACTTCTATGAATTCGTGATATAGCACGACCACCATCCGATGTCATCGTGAATACACATCATAACTCCAGACTTGATTAACCTCACAGGTCATTGTTTTCCGTTCAATATAAGATGCCATACCATTTGACAGTTGTTGCTCTCAAGTGTTAATTTATGGTCTGTATTACGAATAGCTTACGCACTTTGCATAGTTATGAAATGCTCTACTTTGATGGTATTGTGTTCTGTGAGTTGTATGGTTTAGTCCTGAAGCTTTCACTGTCATTTTAGACAGTATGTTCGGGACAAACGTCTTTCTGGCACAGAAAACACAACAACACCAAAATCACCCATTTAGGAGATAAATATCCTCCACCATCCCGAAATGAATCCCATTCTACAACTTCAACCAATATTTGGGACAGGATATTGGTGGATGGCATGGAAAAGTGGTTACTGTTAACGACCGTAGAAGCAGTGAAATAATACTTCCATTAAAGTGATATCAGAGGACACTGCAGCTGGCTGGGACATACTCATTGCGAAAATCTACTTATATTAAAGAGGTACTTGACCAATTAGTCTAAACCTTTATCACAAAGGTTAGCATTTTGATAGCTATCTCTTGACAAACAATCTGAATGAATCATGACAAGCATTCATGGTGTGAGTATGATTCTCCCCCTCATACACACATACACCAATAATCTACTTATTAAAACACCGACACAAACAGATTCGGATTACATAAACCCATAGGTGTTTGCCTAATCTCTGATCATTCCCATTTCGTAAGCTTCCTGTTCAAAAAATTTCAGTTTGGAGGTTTGTGTGGAGTTTTTTTGATTGCAAGATCATATTTATCATAGAGTGGCATCAGTTGGAGAATCACTGAACAGTTGTTTCGTCCTAGCATGGGACTCCCCAGCAGTGCGCCCCATGATCCTACCTCGCCAGCGATCGAACCGACAACCTCCAGGTTTTGTAACGAACGGGTTAACATTCAGTCGCTGGGTCGGAATGCGATGGTCCACACTTTCAAAAGTTTCCTTATCACAAAAAGAGTAACAGGATAAAGCATATTTTAGGCTTTACCTTATAATTCCTCCCCCCCCCCTACCCATCGTTCTTCTCTTTTAACTAGATGCTTGGCGAATGCAAATTCTCAAGTCTACACTAACATCTTCAAAGTATTTTCTACACCAGGTGAACTTTTGATGTCAAGAGATAATTCTT